TTTCCAATGATAGATCTATCTACTGATGATGTCATAATGACTTCAGTAGCATTGTGACGTCATCAAGATTTCAGATTATTCTTGCAGTATTATCTTACTCCAATAAATATAAACCTCAGAAATTATATTATACATCTTTGTATAATAAAATGTATCCATGTATTTGTGATTGTAGTTAACTCTTTTATCAAACCCTATGACTCAGAGTATGTGGACATTGAAGGAGATGATGGCAAGCCCTCGGGGAATAGTTCTCTGTACAGCGGGTTTGATGTAAAATCTGTCACATCACACCCAGTGGATAAGTGTATACTATTAACCATGATGTTAAAATAGAGGAATAAATGGTGTTTTATGTTCAAATTAAGTTACTTTGAAATCATTATGATTTGTTGGAGGTGAATGCCCTTTTGATTTGTTGGGGTTAAAGCCCATAAGCAATTTAAAATTTTACTTGTTTGTTGACGTGCAACTTTTTAAAGCAATATGAGCTGCAACTTTGATGTCGGAATTTTTTGTTGCAAAATTGTAAATAAATATTTCAATGACAGAAAAAAAATAACATTAATAAACTTCTGTTGTTCATATTAGGGATCAAAGAGCTATTTATAAGCTTCGATTGAAACAAAATTGCATTACTGTCGCCCTGTACAGTAATGATTTCTTATATAAAACTGTATATTGGATTGTTTATAGTAGTCTTTCTTCTGCTTTATTTTAGTCTAATTGATCATAAAGGTTTAAGTTACATACAAATTAATCATAATAATACATTTTAACAACAAAATAAGATTTTTAAAAATGGAGCTCATATTGCTTTAAGCAATTCTTTAGTACAGAAGATCCTTTGCTAATTCAACAAAGTTCTTGTTGATGGAATATAGAGAGATAATCTATGTAATTGATGAACAATTGTCACCTACAAACAATTATGATTCTAAAGTACTCGAGACACTATTTGAGCATTTTTTTTTATATGTCTTATTGTATAAAACTTCAGGAGCAGTTAGATGCCTCAAATCAGGGTGATGGTTTGGCTCAAGATTTACAGATAACTCCTGAAAACTCGGACAATGAAGAGATGGGTAAATCATTTTCTATATCAGTTAGCAATCTCTCTCTTATCTTAATCAAGTAAGGTCAAATAATTGGTTGATGACTTTCAAATACTGTAAAACGAGAAAATTTAGCGCATACTTATTTTAGCGCAAATGCAATTGGGAATACATTGGCGCAAATAAATTTTAATGCTTGCACTTGTCTTTAAAATATGTAAATGTGATATTTTTTTAAATCCATGCCCGTATTTGACTTTTTGGTTAGTGAAGCACGGAAACACAATTATAGCACTCCCGTATATAAGTAAACAATCGTCAACTTTACCGTAGTGTTGCAATCACATAGACGTGACCCAATGTTAATTTTTTTTTAATAAAAGAAATGGAGTATTCACGCATTTTATTCATATTAAAACAACGCATGCTTCAAAGGAAAGTTACTTGGATAAACGGTAATCATAATCAGCCAGGTATTGTCTGCAAGCTCAATAGCCATGCTTGATTGCATTGTTTACCTCGAGGCGATAGATGATTGACACACCGAGAAGCCAAACTTTGAAGGTGCTGATGATAAGTATCGGGTAACAACTAACAATAGTTTAATTAAATAAATTATGTAATATAAATTATGAACTTTCTCGATTGGTCCTACAATGTACACTGCTAGTGTGTATATAAAATCCAATGACCCTTCGACATTACATAACTGCGCGTTCCGGTTTACATGTACTTATATGGAAGCCTTGAACATACACAACAAAATAATATTAGAATTCCGTTAGCGCACAATTAATTTTAGCGTTCAGGGGCTCTTGCGTCAAAAGCGCTAAAATTGATAGTGTGCCAAATATCCTCGTTTTACAGTATTAACTTTTGCTGTTCAGAGCTTATTTCCTGACAAAGAATGTGAAAAAACTTCAATGTATTGAATTTTTATTCATCATGCATGCATGTCTTGGATGTAATTTGACAACAAAAAATTTATATTCGATTATATACTTGTACTAGATATAATGTGATGGCATGAATTAAACACATCTTTATTTTATACCTACAGGTGATCAGGACAGCAAAGATTTCCAGGGTGAACTCAGTATGTCTCAGTTTGAGAACTCTGAACAGTATTATCAGTATCCAGTCCACTTCCAAGAAGAAGACGAGAACAGTTTTGATCCCTCAGACTTCTTCATGCACAGCTCACTGGCACAGGAGGCAGCAGCCAATCAAATCAAACAGGAGGAGCAGGGGGAGGGGCCTGCACCTGTTGCCATGGAGACTGATATAAACAATGACCTTGCTGTGTCAGATAGTGATGATGAGGGCGAGCCAATGCAAGGGACAGGAAATGATGGATTTGACATTGACGAGTTCTTCTAGTGAGGGGAATATTCTGCCACAAACATGTCTTTCAAAGTGATTTATCTTATTTCAAGAGAACATGGTTTAAATATCATGTATTTTTTATATGAAGAGGAATAGAGTAAATCTTAATTTTTGTTATGTATATGAGATACAGCAGTACATGTAGTATGAATGTGTCAAAATGATTTTGTTTTTTTACTATAGCTTAAGCTGTCATTTACCAGTAGTGCTGTTAACTACAAGTGCTTCTTTTGTGTATTTTGATACATATATCTTGTTTTGCTGGCAAATTCCAACTCATTCTTATTCAGAAAAATCAAAACAATGATCATTATGGTACCAAGTTATCTCTTTCACCGTTATGTGTTCAGACTAATTCAGCTGATGTACATTATCATTGTGAAGTCTTGTAACAATCCTGCACTTCTAAAACTACCATTATATCAAACCAGAATACATGTATATGTCTTGGCACTTATTAGTGTGACCTCTGAGAGGTATACATTGTTCATGTGTATTGAACTATTTTGCATTACTTTTTTTTTACTTAGATATGTTAAAGTTGATTTCCATTTTGATGTGAAATCATTGAAATAAATGTTGTCAAGTGTTTTATAGCAAATTATGTTATTTTTTTAAAGTTTAATAAAATTTTGCAAAAGTAGGTGAAATTGCAAGGTCAAGTCCAAGAGGTCAAATAGGTTGGTACACAAAAAGAATGGTCTTGTCACCAGAAATGCATGTACCGATCAGAAATATGAATGCCATATCCCCAACCAATCAAAAGTTAAGGGCAAGGTTAGTGTGGAAAAACAAACAGATAGATGAACAGAGCAAAAACTATATGCTCCTGAATCTTTATGGGCATAAAAAAACCAACCAATTTTGACCATGGCAGTTCTAAACAACTTCACCTTGGCCCAAGTTTTAAATAATTTTATGTTTATTTCTTTAAACATTTTCTTGGGTTTCAATGTTGATCCTTTGACCTTGACCTTAGAGTTTAATCCACTTAAAAAATTTACCATGGCCATAACTTCTAAATGGTTGGTGCTAGGGTTTTTTTATTAGCTCACCTGAGCCGAAGGCTCAAGTGAGCTTTTCTGATCACATTTTGTCGCGTCCGTCTGTCCGTCTGTCTGTTTGTAAACTTTTCACATTTTCGACTTCTTCTCAAGAACCGCTGGGCATAGAAATATATAGGAAAATTCTTTAAAAATCTTCTTCTCAAGAATGACAAAGCCAATGGGAGCATGCTCAGGTAGTGTAGATTCAAGTTTGTTCAAATCATTCAACCAAGTTTTACTGCCACAAAGTATCCTTGGGTGAAGGGGATTCAAGTTTGTTCAAAAGAAGGGCCACGCCCTCATTCAAGGGGAGATAATTGGGAATTAATGAAAGTTTGGTGGCATATTTTAAAAATCTTCTTCTCAAGAACCACTGTGCCAGGAAAGATGAAACTTATGGGGAAACATCCTTAGGTAGTGAAATATATAGAAAATTCTTTAAAAATTCAAGTTTGTTCAAATCATGACCCCTGGGGGTAGGGCAGGGCCAAAATGGCTGACCAAAGTTTTACATAGAAATATATAGGAAAATTCTTTAAACATTTTTTTTCTCAAGAATGACAAAGCCATAATTCATCATATTTATATGGAAGCATGCTCAAGTAGTGTAGATTCAAATTTGTTCAAATCATGACCCCCAGGGGTAGGGCGGGGCCAAAATGGCCGACCAAAGTTTTTAAAGATATATATAGGAAAATTCTTTAAAAATCATTTTCTAAAAACAGCAAATCCATGATTGGTCATGGGACTACTTTTGGATTTAAACTTTACAATAAAAAGCCATTTTCTACTTTTTCCTACCCTTAGTGCTCAGGTGAGCGATGTGGCCCATGGGCCTCTTGTTTCACAATGTATTTCTTGTGACAAGGTTTTCCCTAGTTTACAACAATTTTGACTCCTTGACCTTTGAGTTTTTCCTACTTTTGGAAAACTTGAACCTTGACCATAACTGTTGAATGGTTGGCATATTTCTTGTGATGAAACCTGCCCTTTTTGAACCAACCAACAATCTTGGCCTTCTATCCTTGACCTTGAAGTTTGATCTACTTTATTTTCATTTAATTTTTCTTTCTGGAGCAATTTACCTGTTCAACACTTACCAGGGTATATTTAAACTGTAGTTGCATAAACCTTTTTTTCCCCTCAAAAGAATATTAAGGACATACACAAGGTACCTTACCTACTGATAATTTTTTAAGATATTCTAAATTTAAAGTTATAATACCATTACATGTTCTTAACAAAAAATCAGCATGTGTTACCAGGGGTTTTGGAAAGATATCAAATTATGAAAATTTTTCCATTATTCGAAGAAAAATGTACAAAAATTATAAAACATGAATTCCAGTTTTTTTTATTTATCAAAATTTGTTTTAGAAGAGGTGTGCATATCCATATAAAGACATTAAAAGTATTGCACATAGGTCCTTCATTTAGTGGAACTCTTCAACTCCAGGGGAAAACCCAATAAAGTTCAAACTACGTTGCGAATGACCTTAAACACAATAAACCATTTCTGTGCATATATATGACTTTACTGAAAAAATATATGATACACAAAATGATAAAACATATGCAAGCTTTAATGTGAAATAACAAAAATTTGGTAAAATCACAGAGGGAAAAAAAAAACAAAAAAGGAAAAATCAAAATATTTTGGGTGAAATCGACATGACGTGTGTTCTGCTATATCCCTGCTACATAACCCAGTAAGAGACAACATTAAATCCAGTAAAGTGAGTCACACCTCCACTTAAGAGTGTGCCCCATATACTGAACAAGGCAAAATTTCCTGTTATACTCTAAACTACATTAAGTACTTCCTACCATCTAAGAAATTTTTGCATAGAATGTATTTTTTTTCTGTCGGAAAGTTGAGAGCTCACAACAAATAGCCAACAAATGAGACAATTTTCTCGAGTATCTGAAGCTCGCATGAGTAAAAAAAGACATAAACGAAATTTACAGAGACAATCATAACAAAGCAATGGTGCTCTACCAAGGGACCTAACTCCAATTCGTAAAGAGACAACACAAGGCAAACTTTACCTTGTATGAGAGAATGTGTTTAATATGAGAGACAGGAAAATGGATAGTTAAGACAATGGATTTCTTCCTACTCATAGAAAAAATAGCAATTCATCAACACTTGTTACTGCATGACTTATCATGCCCATCTAAACATAGTGTATGGCTGCAACATTTACGTTTTTTCGTATAAATGCAACGTTGCAGTTTTAATTGGAACACAATGTTTTCTGATGCTAAAGATAAATCTGTTATCATCATTATAGTTTAGTGTAAGGAGACTAAAATAATTATCTGGATTCTGAATATCTTTAGTATTAATGTAAATGGGAACTATAATATAAGTACATGTATATAAATATACAGCGTAATGCTTATAATTGTTTAATATGTTTCAGGTATGATCCAAATTGACAATCATGCAAACCAAGCATAATCCAACAATACTTTCATAGAATATCAACAGAATAAACCATTTTCTTGTACATGTTTTTACAAATGCAATCGTCAGTCCATACTGAAACAAAATTATGTAAATGCTAATCTACAGTGTACAATAAAAAAGCAATTTTTGTTGTTAGGAATGCAATATTAGGTCATGGCAATGCAAAATAAACAAATTGAATATAATTACATGTACTTCTTTTATGTAAATTAATGGAATGCATTTGAATCATATTAACTTATACATAATACCTAATGAAAGATTGAAATTTATATTGGCCTAAAAAAAATTTTTTATATATAAAAAAAGTACAGCATACTTTAAATATTAAGGCTTAGATCATCTTTAGACATGCACATTTTTTTTTTAAATGTCACCTGTAGAACATACATTTATCAAAAATTGATTTTTTAAAAACGTTATCCTAAGTGACTTGGTCCTTACCAGGAGAAATTCAATTGTTATCAAATATTTACTATCTGCCAATTTCAAAATCTGTATACCGTATCTGCATATCTGACAATAAAAGTAAATAAATCGTGTTCAGAAATAAATTTCATGCACATTTTTTCCCCTTCCTCTTTCAATTCAACAAAACATTTGATCAAACCTTTATACATCTGATCAATCTGACATTAACAATGATTACACCAGATCAATATTGAAATATCACAAAACACTACATGAATGCAATTTGTCAAACTATATAAAAAAGGCATTTAACACAATGTACATGAAAAGAAACCCTCCATAGGCATCAATCACACACATATTACAATAGCATTGAGAAATATTGCATTATCTTATTTAAAAAAGCTCTTAGGATGTAAAAATTACTCTCTGGAAAATTTTCTTTTTGTAAAAATCAACAAATTAATCAAAATGATAACATACATATATATATTGAGCATGAGCAACAAAGATTTATAGAATAAGATATATTAAACATACAACAATTCAAAACTTAATTTTTCTATAAAAAAAAAATTGGAATGCAAAGCTAATGAAAGTTAAAGAAAATAATTTTTTTTTTTTCACCAAACATTCTTAGGTCAAAAAGCTTTGGAATGTGATTATAATAAGCAGCTCTCATATACACAGTTTTTGGTTTACATGCTTAGCTAATTTGAGCAAAAGCAAACTAGCATTTACATCGGTAGAGACCTGCTCTATATTTCCAAATTAACATGGAAACTCTCGTTTGAAGTTCACAGTTTGTGTTAAACCTACAGGAAAAGGGGGGTACCCTTACAATGAGATTATAATGATTTTTCTTTTCTTTGGCTCTAACATCCTCGGATACATGCTTCTAACAAATGCAACCCCACAAACACCTAATTATCACCATCTGTTACAAGATGTCCTAAAGATTTTTTATTTTCTGTTGTTAAAGTCTCCGTTTTTCTGGGTATTTTTCAATCCGTCATTTTCAGTGTCCTGAAATCAATATGGCTACCAACTAATCAGACAAAGAGTCACACACACCAAATTAAAAAAGTCTGACAAAAAAGCACTAAATGATGAAAATATTATCAATAAATACTACATTTTTCAGACCGATGTACAGTGTATGAACTGTTATGAAAATTAAGCACATCAATGCATTCGCAAACTAGCACATTTTTTGTGCACATGCGCACATGTATACACAAGTTCTGATCCAATTGAACACTAGCAAAGATTTTCTACCGATCCAGATCCCTCTTTGAATTTCAGACACTGAACCAAGAAAAAGTTGATCTCCACCAGATTTCAAATAAATCAAAAACACAAGAAAGCTGGGGAGAGGTTAAGTGCCCCCAGTAATTAACGGTTAAAACAACATATCCGGGTTTTCAGTTTCAGTAAAGTTTTGAGAGCTCTCGTCCTCCGCAGGGATCAGGTCACCTTCGCCTGGATTGACCTCCTGATACGGAGCAGGTGTAACAGGTTCCACCTCCCTCATGGACTGTCCAAACTGAAATTCTGCCACCTGGATCTTAGACTTGTAATTACTAAGCTCTCCTGTAAAATGCAAGAATATAAATAATTTTTTTTGGAAAACTCAACTTTTGAAAGGGCAAATTAAAACTTAAATATTATGGAACACATTAAGAAAAGGTTCTTTAATCCTTGGGAGAATATTGGTACATTTGTTCACAGTTATTCTTGCAGCTTAATAAAAAATAATCATAAAAATCTGTGGCCTTAAAATTTTTCCCATTAATCAGATCAAATAATGATTGTCATGATGTGTAGTCTAAATTTTATAATAAATCAAAACTGCAAGGAAAATGACACTGCATTTAGTGAAATCTAAAGGAAGTGAAAAAGTGCAATGACATTTCTTCTGACAATTTTACGTTTCCATAGGGAAAAGCCATGGCTATCAAGAGATGAGTCTAATATTAAAGTTCATTTCCTTGATTTTTTTTTAATCACCCAAGTGTACTAATTACAAAAGAGAATAAGGAAGAGGGAAAAAAATTACATTTCATTAATTAAGCAAATTCAACTCATTTTTCCAACGGTTGGAAGTCAACAGTCTCTAATATTTTGTCCTGATTTCTATTTGTAGTTCCATACCCAGACCTTTAGACCCATTGTCTGGGATATTGGTTTAATTTTAGTCGGCACAAAATGTAATGTTATCAAATACAAAGTAACAAGTCTGTGTTTAATCTGATTACGGCAGGCAGGTGTAATAATTCCTTATCTCCCTGAAGCATGAACATTCCCAAAATGTCTCGCACATCAATACAGTGTGTGACAATACAAAGAATGGATTATGCATGTTTACAGATAACTCCAACCAGATACATGGCACTGGCATGAAAAGAAATTCAACCAAAAAATGACTTTAATTTTTTTATCTGATAAGCATAATACCATGGAAAGAAATAGGAATTCATCTTAATAATTTTAAAAGAGTGCGCAAGATAACTTAATTGCTATGGGGCGATTTAAATTCATATAAAATTCAACTAAAATGGAAATTCAGCATGTTAGTTCATGGATCTGTTATCTCTAAAGAAGATGATGCATAGTTTATGCAGAGGAAATTCAACCAGATTATTTTGTGAACTTTTGCCATTGAAGTGCATGGGACATTGCAAGCTCTTTAAACTCAGGTTATCTTCAAAGATATATTTCTGTTTAAACAGTGGGAAAATAAATCTCTCCATGCATTTTAGGGGGCTTAGTAAAATGGAAATTGTGCAATTTACAAGAAATATACCTTAGCATAGCAACTTAAAAATTTGACTTTCACTTAGGTAAATAAATTAAGTTATTCCAGGTAAAAGAACTAATAATCGTCATTTGAAGTATAAACTTAATACGCCTTTGTTCCTACATGATGATGTCATGTTAAAAAACAAAGTCTGCCTCAATGAAAGGAATTAATTAAAGTATAATGGGTCTTTGTCTTAATTGACACAACAGCTGAAACCTTAATGTATTGCTTAATTTACACCTACATACAAACATACAAGTGACTCATCAATATATGTCTGTTTCAACAAACGAAACCGTGACCTTTTGTTTAAAGTTCAGTTTAAAATGGTGGTGTTTTTAAGTCTGATTACCCTTGAGGTTTTTTTTCTTTTCCAGACACAAAAGTCAGAAAAAAATACCATTCAAATAAGTTTAAAGTATCTTCAAAAGTTTTAAATTAAAACCTGACGTAGTATACAAACTAAACAAAGAAATTTGAAGATCGAAGGACTTATTTAGCTAAAGTTATACCTGGTACTTATATATAATATGTGTTGAAACCCAGGGTGAAAAAATCAAGGTTACGATTATAGCGAACTGTTAGATTTATCGAGGGGTCAATGTTTGTAATTAATACAACACAAACACTATCAATTAATACATAGATTAAAATATAGGGTAGCACAACTAAGAATTCCTTTGTTTGATATGATCAGATGGCAACAAAATAAAATTGTGTGACTGTCCATCCATGGTCAATAAACCCATTATCTCACCCCAAAGTTGTATCATATGTTTTAATATTTCCTGTTTAGGTTGGCACAGATGATTCTAAACCATTTTTATCTTGTAAATAAAATCTTTATCAGCTAATAGACTTTTCCCCTCTTATTCTCTCATCACATAAATCGAACCACCACATTTTCCAGAAATTAATTATCTTATTTCTATGTAATACCACATACAGTGTTAATTTTGCCCTTTTTTTTTTTTTTTGCGCTCTAGTCCTGCAAATAATTTTGAATTTGTCCAGACACACTTAGTTTGAGAGATGATGCTCATTTCTCTGAATTCATCCCAATTTAAAATTCACCCAACTGCAAGAAGGATGAAAAGGGTAAAAATAAATCAGTGGTGAAAATTTCCCTGTATACAACTCTGAACTCACCTGAACCCGTTCCGATGGCAGTGTTGGATTTCATGGTGGATGACTCCCGTGGCGAATCCACGTCGTCGCTGGATTCCGTACTATCCACATCAATACTGAGTGTTGCCTGCTCAATTTCCACTTGCTCCTTAACTACCTCTTCTGTTTCGTGTGGATTTTCCTCCAGATACTGCGCCAAAGCGGAGTTCTCAGACTGATACTCATGGGTGGAGAGTGCCTTATCGTCAAACTGAATACGGAGCTGGAAAAAAACAAGAACACTTTCATTTATACATCATTACAGTAAACATTCAAAATCTGTAACTTACCGCTACATGTCAGTATGCACTGAAATTACGATGAGGTATTTCTTATAACTATAGGTTCCATTGCAAAACAATTTTAATCCATTAAATTCACAAGTTTCTTCAAAGAGAAAATGTTTTATAACCTTCTGTGGCTTTGTTTTACCATTTGAAGAAGACATATAGGCAAAACACACAAAAATTCACCCCACAGACCAATAAAAAATCAATGCACTTTTTCCATCCAAATTATTACAAGGAAATTTTAAAACACCCTTCAATCATGATTAAATGTGTTATTTGTTTTTCCTGTTCTGCAGAGCCCTAATTACTATGACGGTGAAACATTTCTCTCTCTTATTGAAAAATTAAATTTTCAAAAATCATATATAAGCACCAGTGATGACAATGGACAACAAACACTAATTTCCTGAATAATTGCAAATCATTCTAATATAACATGACAATACTCTAGAACTTTTAAGTAAGTGCACCAAAATGGTACATCTTCGACATACTCCAATCTACAAGCTTAAAACCTTTTTACCCTCTCTTGAAGTTTTCTATGACGTATATATAGCCAATCAATGCCAAAAAAGGTCAAATGACATACTTTGGGGTAAAAAAAAAACCTTTCCTCCAACAAGGCATCAACTGACAAGGTTTTAATAATGGTCCTAGAACCTTGCAGTGTGCAAGATATGCCCAACATATAATCTGGAAAACAAATTTGACCATAGTCAGCTAAAATAAGGTCCCCATAACCTCTTTCTGGATTGTACAACATTGTTCCACCAAGATGCATCAGCTGACAATGTTTGATAATTGTAGGTCTTATACTGTAAAAATGATGAAGCATACATGACTAAACTTCTAAATACACGGTTATTTCTCTATATCACAGTTGAACATTTTGCCCTGTTTTAATTTCCCCATTCTATTGTGCTAAAGAGATACCTTTCTTTTCTTTGAATTATTTTACTTTTGTTCAGGGCTAAATCAGTTGTATGTGTACATTATGTTCCCCAATAGTCATCATGACCTGTTTTATTTGGGTTGCAACATATCTTCCCCCCAAGATGAATCAACTGACATGGTACGAGGGACCTTGAAAGACCAACACATAACCTGACAATTCCAAAATGATGTTAATATGACTATATACTTTTGGATTGAAAAACACCTTTATCCCATGTTCATCAACTGACAAGATTTGATGGTGTTATGTTTCACAGTGTGAAAAATATGACCTGGACATATAAAAGCTATCACTAAACAGACAGGCACATGGGAAAGCCATCGAAAGGCAGTCATATACCGGTAAAATAATCAGAGACTTTGAGATAGGTACAGAAAGAACATTTCATTCATTCACCATGGATAAAAGCATAAAGCAAGGTCAATACTGATTTGCAGTACATAAAAGTTGATGTGTAGGAATATGATACTTCCAAGCTATCTTAAGGCTGGGCATACCAAGAATTGGTAATTTCACAATACATCTCTCTTGGTTAATAGACCGAACAAATAATCTATTTCCTCAAAGTGTATTGTAAACACTACTTTAGTAATTTGGTAAAAGAGACTTCAAGGCTCCTTAGATATGTTTCTTTCCCCAAGAGTTTATGTCTTTGTCCAAAAATTTGTAGAAAAATATTATGGAAAAAAACTTTATTAGCTCGATTTGATTGAAATACAATTAGTTTTGACAAATGGTGTTTCTATACTATAACAGTCAAAAGCAGGAAAAGAAAAAACCAGCTTAATTGTGAATAACATCACAAAATAAAGAGGGGAATTGCTTAATTACCCCCCCCCCCCAACCCCAAGCTTAAAAAAAAAGAAGGAAAAAAGTACTGAACTACTAATATAAAATTTGCACCTGTCTTAATTTTTATGTCATTTCATATCAGGAAGTGATTTTCTCTATAAAAAGGCATAAGTGTCCTCTTTTTTGACAACATGTGCAAATCTGTGCAACTGATAAGATAAGGAGCATTCAGATTGGTTTTATTTTCAAAACCTGTGTACTTTCCAAATAAATGATTTCAAATTTTTACCGAGTAAAAAGTTATTTAAACCAAGTCACTTGTAATATTAAGGGGAAAAAAAGTACCAGGTATACATGATTTTTTTTACCTTCTGTTATGATTTGTGTCTTATATCAAAGTAAATGTAGTGCAAAACCCACAGTGATACAAACAAAAGAACTGTTCAGAAAACCAGCACAAGGTTGTCATGTTCGTCTCATGGTGCCATCTATCTTCTGTTTCCTGTCACTGTGGTTATGCTGCACTGATAGATATATTCATAATCTGTCAGAATTACGCTCGTTACTAATTACTCAAAGCCTCCTTTTTCTTCTTACACTTCCAGAACAAAAATAGAATGGAAGGTGATTGGCTTTTCTTAATATCGATTAATATGAACTGTCATCACTTTTTTTTACTGCACGTGATCATCTCAATCTTTTTCTTCCTTCTTTATTTTTTTTTAAATCGATTTTTTAAAAAAAGATTTATTGGTACTTAATACTGATAAGAAAAAAAATCCTAGCCAAGTTCGGGGAAAAAACCTCTTCTGATTTGAAATGTACACAAATTCACATCTCGATCCCCACTTGATTTATAATACATGTACATAAATTACCATGGCTATATTGTAACACATAAATCGGTTCTTTATAATCCTCTTTCAGAATAGTCTATGTATGATGTTAATAACAATGCACTATATAAACAGAGATTGTTTTTCTACCCTCCCTGATCAACTGAAAAGGAAAATTACAACTGATCGTTTAACCGACATATTGTTTAATTACAAAACGGAAAAGGCTGTCTCAAGCAAAACCTTAATTTAAACAAATCTGGCATGAAGTTCGGATACACAAATCAATCTTTTTAAGGGCATTTTCCCCGAAATCCGTAATGGATATAAATGAACTGTTTACATGTTATGTCACTTGCCCTCTTAAAAGAACACTATAGTTAAGGAAATTTTTTAAAGAAAGAAATATTCCAGTGAAGGAATAAAAGAAAACCACACACAATTAGTAATTTTCTCCTCAAGGTAGCTGTGTGAATAAACAAATTGGGATCTTACTGTCTGAGGGTCATGTTAAAGATCCAAATTATCACTGTCCAGGGCTGACAACAAAATTGCCTACAAATCTCATCTAGCAAGTAGCAACTCATGATTTCTCTTTACAAAATTGTTGAACTCTACCAATGGCCTACAGGTCTCATTCATAGTTTACATGTCCAGAGTTGGTCCTAAGAATTAAAATAGCAGGGGGCAGTAAAAGGGTGGAAGGGGGTTTGGGGTTCCTACCATAACAAAGGGTTGAGGGAGAATATCATAATACCTAGAAGATTACGGCATTATAGGCGGCGAAATTTTCCAACCCCCAAGTCTTACGGACAACTCGGCATGGGTTTTTTTTCCAATATATTGCCAAAAACAAACTTGGCAAATATCATGATAATTATATAGACAAATAGATGTACCCTACATAGAAAACAACTTAAATCAGATCTTCCAAAAAGAAACTTTCGTAACCTAAAATCATAAATGTAGAGAAAATGTGAAACAAAGCTGACACATTCCAATATATTCAAACAAACCTCCAAATTTACCTTTCTTGTGTTTTTACAAATCTTCTTTCCATTGTCTTTGGATTCAAAATACTTAATTTTAGATAATACACGGCTTTTTTGTAAAAAGTTCCCATCGATAAGATACACTTTTCTCTTGCTTCCATTCTTCTGACCCCCTGACAGAATTCTCTTCGAGTCCCAAATCAGAGTACACCCTCGCCTGTAGTGTTCATCATACTCGATATTAATTGAAGACATTATGGAAAATGAATTCATTGATTGGTCAATTGTCTCGGTCATTAAAATCAGCCTCTTCTTCAAAATCTCTCCTTAGTTCATGTTGAAAATTTTCATCACTGTTTCAAACATAATATGTTTTGGTCACTGTCATAAATTGCCTGAACACGCAATATATGTTTACTTCCAAAATTTATTGCACAATAAATATCTATATTTATTATGACTCCGTAATGTAAATTAATTAAATCCAGGTACAAAAAAGCGTCATTAATTGTCAGTCCACACACAGAGACAGTGAAAGAACGGAGCGATTGTCATCTGCCGTTGGCATTATCACACGTAGAAATGGAGTTCACCGTCCCACAAAGCAAATTGTAAATGTTCTGTCATTATCTTGAAGGTGTCCCCGGTTCTCACTGCAAGCACTCGACGCAAATGTGGGAAGGCCGCAAAACAACAAAAAAGCCAAAGAAAAAGTAAACTTCCTGAGTCAATTTTCTGGATCTGTTCACCTAGGTATTTGGGGACTGATAGCCGATTAAGTTTAGTTTGCATATTATGTCAGTGCCTATCATCAGAATAGCTTTGTTTATGTAGAGTTACATGGCAGATTTGGTCTAAATTGCTGCCTTTACTTCATCCCCTAGTAATAGACTAGGATCCAGTGACACCTATTGAAACGACTCCGGGGTAGCAACCAGACGATGCCAAAGTTATTTTTCACACAAAGTCTAGAGGTGTGTTAAACAAAATAACAGTGACTTAATATTGGGTTTAATCTGCAAAACAGTCCTTATTTGTTCAAAGAAAGCTAAGGGAAATGATACATCAAAAAGACCACATAGGTAAACTTCAAACAAAGTAAATTTTAATCTTATGCAGCAGTTTTCTTAATTAAATTCTTTAAAGTCTACAAAATTGTAGGTATACTATTACATAATTAAGTACAGTTTTTTTGCAAATTGACTTTGGGTTTTGAGTTCCACAATATTGCAGCAGCTGCATCATGCCCTATAGATTGGCAATTCAAAGCCTAGAGCTCGGAGCAAAACCCAAATAATTCATGATGAAACGGGACATAAAACTCAACATGGAAATTGAGATAAAATATTAATTACAGG